GCCCTTATCAGTGCGAGCAGACCGGGCGGCTGGCCGGGCCCGCGGCCCGCGCACACCGCACAAAGGCCCAGGCCGGTGGGGGCCGGCGGGGGCCCGTGGGCCACGAAGATTAATTGCCCAATCAAGTTGTCGGCGTGGGCGGGGGCGGGCCGGCGGCCCTGGGGGATGCGGGCGGGCGCATAATGAAGTGTGCAAAAAGTTAATTTGCTCCGCGACGCGCAGCTCGCCGCAATCAAAGGCGGGCGTCGGGAGGGGGCAGCAAGGAGGGTGCCCAGGGTGCCATCCCGAGGCGGGCTGTGGGGACCCGGGATTCCCCGCGGCGATAAGGTCGAGGTCTGCAAACCTGCGCTCCTACCCTCCGCGGCGGCTGCTGCCTGCAGTGAGTCCCCAGGCAGCCCTCTGGCCCTTACCCTTGCTGAGCACACGCTCACATCTCCCCAACACACAAAGGTGGCGTTCTGGTGTGTGCACTTGGCCCCCAGATCCCTGCTCCAAGTAGTCCAGCATTTCCCTGGCTTGGTCCCTTTCCTTGACAAAGTGAGGAGGTAGAGCCTAGAGCATGCGCTTCGTAGAGGACCAGAGGACCGAAGACAGTCAGATGCTTGGAGAAGGTCCAAGTTCACCAAGCTCTTATCTGGTTCAGAGCCTTAAGTGGCAGCTGGCAAGGAGGAAATCCACACCACAGTCAGGACGCCGATAGTATTCAAGCTATTGAGAGGGGAGGGGAACACCGCAGGTTCCCGGGTCGGATCTCGTTGACAGGGCGATTTGCTTTAAGCCCTGACTGAAGAAGGCACCCTTACAGGTGGAGATTCAGATATGGGCTTGCCTTATAAACAAGGAAGGTGGTCCCCAACAGTCAGCTGGAGGGGAGATGTTTGTCTTTTTGTCTAAATCGTTTCAGGAGTCTCACACAGTTTTAATCCCAGCGAATTGGCCACAGGACAAAGAACGGGTAGTGGCACTGTCTTTGTCTGGCCTCCTTCGAAGGTTCACGGAAGAGAGAAAAGTTTGCAGGCAAGCAAGGGTGTAGGGGATCATCTTGATAGGAATCAGAGAGGAGGGCACAGCTAGTTAAGAGGGGGGAGAGGGTAAGGTACGTGTTAGAGCACGGGTTTATCCATCACTGTCCTATGAGTTCGGCAAGCCTGGAAGCTGTCCCATGTGCCCAGGGAGAGCACTGCGGTCCTACAACAACAGCTTCTGCCCCAGAGAAGAAACTGCCTGCACAAACCATTTCACCCTCCTCCACACAGCAGGGGCCCTGGGAGCAACCCCACCTGTCAGTGAGGGGCTGGACTCGTGTTAGTTTTGACTCTACTGTTTTCTCTGAAAGGAGCGGAGCCCTGCTTTGGTTCCGAGTCAGAGGTTCTCAGACCATGGGCTGGCCACCAGGGATATTGTGGCTCCCCAGGTGCAGACACATCCAGAACCTGAGGCCCAGCCAAAGCACAAGCTTCCTTCCAATGCCTGGCAGGGTCATCGGACAATGGCAGGGAAGCCTCAGTAACCTCCCTTCAGAAGCAGCTCCCAGGCCAGACTGGTCAGCTCATCCTCGACTCAGATTAGCGGCTCCTGAGTCCTGGTTCTCTGACTAGATGCCCAAGGTCTGACCCTGAACCAAGGCAAGAGTAGGAGAGACTAGTCCGGGAGGCCTTGAAGGTGACAGGAGCCAGCCTTTCAGGCGAGAAGGGGTGGGTTACAGCCAAACCAAGATTTATGAGCCTGATCGTAGTAATGAAAAGAAAAAAGAAAAAAGGACGCGTGTTCGGCAATGCCCAGGGACCAGGACTGCTGCCCTATTACCAAAAATGTCGTCGCTCTTGACTCTGCAAATTAGCATAAAACATGCTGTTTCGCATCGATTTGCATCTCATTTGCATGCTGATGACTTGATGCCACAATGCACCCAGTTCCTTAAGCGGAGGCTTCTGGTCTTAGATTTTCTCCCAGTTCTGCCTCTGAATTGCACTGAGGAAAGCAGGCTCCTAGGTTGTACCAGCGCACTCACCGTGGTCCATTCCTTGACTTCTCTGTGCCTCTGTTTCCCTGGCTGTGAGCTGAAGGAGACAAACTGAAGAAGGATCTTTAAAATGTGATCCAGCAGCTCTCTTGGGGGTTGCAGACACAGAGACCCTGGAGCAGGTGGGACAGACGCCCCCGCCCCCCAATCTCCTGAGAACAGCTGGGGCTCTGAGTAAAATTTCTCTTGAGCAATGCAGACCTTCTCTGTTAAAAACAAAGACCAAAAAGTTTGCAAACAAACAGATTCCATTTTGTCTACCACGCATGTCCAGTGCAATGTTCTCCATAGACTTCAACAGGAGCACTTGGGGTTCACACTCACAGCCCTTGTCCTAACCACCATGCAGCACGCTCCCTCATTTTATAGATGGGTGAACTGAGACCCTGAAAGTCCAAGTAACTTAGGTAGGTGAAACAGCTACTAGTAATGGAGAGTCAAATCCAGGTGGGCTGGCTTCATCATGAGTTTATCCAGGCTGGTTCTCCCATTATACAGATGAGAAAAGAGGGGCCAAGAAGAAGAGATGTAGCAAGTTTTCCTTTGAACCACCAGCTCCCAAATAATGACCCAGAGACTTCTTATTAATTATGAAATCTCCCTCTTTAGCTTAGACTTGTCTCAACTAGCTCTAATAGCTTAAATTAACCCACATATATTAATGTTTGTTCCACCATGTGGCTTTTACCTCTCTCCCATTCTGTGTGTCTGACTCATTCTCAATGGCATCCTCCTCTCTCTGTCAGAAAGCCCCACCTAGCTCTCCTGCCTAGCTATTGGCCGTTCAGCTTTTTATTATACTGATCACAGCAATGCACCTTTGCATTGTGTGCAAGTATCCCATAATAGAGAGAGGATATTTCTCTCTCTCTTCTTTTAAAGACAGGGTGCCATATAGCCGATGCTAGCCCAGAATCCCCTAAGTAGCCAAGGATGGCCTTGAACTTCTGCACTGGGATCACAGCTATGCAACACCACGTCCTATGTCTAAAGTGCTAGGGATTGAATTCAGAGCCTCTACTAACTGAGCTATATCCCTCAGTCCTTCTTTCTATCTAGAATTCCAAAGCCTAGCAGTTAAGAAGCCTTAACTTCCTTGCTTCCTGACCGAGGGTCAGGTTATCGGTGAGCACCCTGTCACTGACATCCCCCACTCAAGAATAGCTAGAGAAAGGACTTTTTGGGGTTCCAAAGGCCTCTAGAGACTGGAGGAGGGGGGTCTTTTTCACTTCCTGTGTCCTCCTCAGACCACCACATCCTGGCTGGTAGCATTCAGGAGCAGGCCCTGGAGAGCAGCAGCCTGAGTCTTAAATCAGAGCTGCTAGCAGGCTCACCAGAGTGCCAGGTGTGCCTGCGAGAGCCAGCTCTAGGGCCAGGCTTGGGTGCAGGTGGAGGTGCCCTAAGAGGGTCTCAGTGAAGGGGGATGGGAGCTTTATGTCTGCAGGGGGAAGCAGTGCCAGGCCAGCAGGTGCTCTGTCCCTACCCTTTGGGAGTCTGTCTGGGAAACCCCCAGATGGAGAACTGACTGCCCCCCCTCCGAGGGATGCCCAGTGGGGTCTCACCATCCCTTCCCTCTATTCAGGGCATTCCAGACTCTCCCTTCTGCTGTCTAGTTCGCTGAGCTGCCTTCTACCCTGTTCCTGCTACCTGAACCTTCTCAGCTCCTCCCATATCCTAAATTCAGCCCTTCCCCACACAGGCTTCTGCCCCTCCCAGCCAACACCGAGCTAAATGTAGGCACTGGCTCAGATAACCTGGGAGCTCTGTGAACCACGTGGAGGTGTTTGCTCAAGCAGAGGGTGTCCCTGGGTTTTCACTTCCTACTCATACTGGTTTTAAGACTCCTTGCCCTAACTGCCCAGCTCTAGCTATCTGAGGGCACAGCCTAAGTTAGAATTGCCAGGCATCTCTGCCACGGTAGAGTTCCTTGGGGCTTGACTGCAGGACCCACCTCTGTCCTAGAAGAAAAGACAGGGAACAAAGGCAGGGTGACATTGTCCATAGGCCCAGGCCACTGCCAGTTCCTTCTGAAATGTCTCCCGAGGATTCCTGTTAAAGGCTTTAAGGAAAGGGTTTTGTCACAAGGGCTGAGTCCTCAGCAACAAGTCAATCCAAGGGAGGACTCATTTGAATGCAAGATTGGGAGGTGATTGGAACAAGGAGGTGGGGCTATGTGGGAGGGGCTAAGTCACTGCAGATGAGCCCTGAAGGTCTGTCTTTCCACCATCTCCGTTGGCACGTGGCCTCTTGCAGGTCCCTAGACTTTGCAGCAGGAGTTCCATGAGCCACGGCACATAGACACATCATGGCCAGCTCCGACATCTCAGAAGTCACGGTGTCTCTCTTGCCACGTTTCATTAACGGGAGCAATCCTGTAAGGGAACAAAAACCGTTCTACTCTTTGAGGTGAGGAATACCTCAGGTTTGTGTGTGCCTGATCTTGTCATACAGGCTGGACTCAAGCTCCTGAGCTCAGGCAGTCTACCAGGCCCTACGCTCCCACCCTGCTGGGACCACGGGTGAGCAGCAAGCTGCCCAGCCCATCATCTTTTAAAATGGATTCAGTAGTGTTTGCCTCGTTTTCTGCATGCAAATGACAGAAGCCCTTGAAGTGCAGTGTGTTAGCACAGGCCTCAGCCTTGTGTGTGTTCAAACAATCACACTGGGTGACACTAGGCACAAACAGGTTCATGGAGAAAGCATGGAATGGGCCCTTGAACCTGAACATCCCGTGAAGCCAGGATAGGCACTGGAAGACAGAGCCAGGAACATACAGCTACTATGCTTTGATGTCAATTAGGCACGGTGCCAGTCATTTTCCATCAGGATCCCAGAGAGCAATCCAAGTGGCAGATCCTATCAACATGCCGATTTTAAGGTGAGGAGTCAGAGGTTCAGAGAGGCAAAGGGTCTTGCCCAAGGCCACACAGCAAAGCAGAATCATGTCCAGTATCTGAACCTACGCCATGGGTGGTCAGAGACCAAGTCGGGCAGTAGTCCAGCCTGCCAGGTGGAACAGGCTGTCCTGACTGTTTGGTGACAGACAGGGAGGGCTTGTTCTGCTGGACAGGGAGCCAGGACCAGGAGGCCTGTCAGCTGCAAGCCCAGCTACAGGCCAGGGGAATGGGGCCAAGACCTCCGTCTGGAGAGCTAAGGGAGGGAGGAGGTCTGAGGAAAGCCGGCTAGAGACCTCTCCAGAGGCAGCAAAGAGTCCTAGATCTTAACAGGTCCCATCACTTTTGTCTGGAACCCTAGAGAGGTCATCACTGTCCCCCAGGGAGAAGCAAGGCTGAGTCTGATCTGGAAACCAGAAAGCCCTGACCATAGGGAGATCAGGAGGAGGAGGCCATACTACAGCTGGCACGTGAAGTCGAGGACTGCTCTGTCCATGCCCGGCAGTTCCCATTCTCCTCCGATTCCTTCCCCTATCCTTTCTTCTCATCCACTCCCTGCTCTCTCCTTTCCTTCCTTCTCACCTTCTTCTCACCTCCCTTCCAGTCCTCCTCCAGGCACACAGCCTCACAAAGGGCAGCTACTTCTCCCAAGGGAAGGAGCCTGCTCTGACCCTCAGCCTGGCCTGAAATGAATGCATCTTCCCAGCTGCCACAGCCCCAGGAGCGAGCTGGGGCTTTGCACAAGTAAGTCCTCTACTCCCCAAGCACCGAGGGAGTCTCCCAGAGTAGGTATACACCTTGGGAGCCCTTGGAGCAGCTTTTCGGGGTCTTCGACTAATTATAGGCCCCTCTGAGCCTCAGTTTTCATTCTGAAACAATTTCAGAATCTGCGAGGTAAGTTAAGGCTAGATGACACACGGTCACACAGAGTCACAGAGGGGTGCATCTGCCTAGTCCAGCCCTTTGCTGGCACAGTACTCTAACACTGCTCCCAGGCCCATGGGGCAGAGCCAACTCCCAGCTGATGTTGGCGAGGGGCTGGGACAGTGGACAGACAGGCTGTCAAGGCCGGCTATGTGCCCAGAGAGCCTTCTGTGCCACTGTTCCCTCAGCCAGCCAGGCTGGCCCAGAGGCCACTTCCTGTGGCCCTGGCAGGACAGGGCTCCAGGCCCCTCCTCTCCTGTACCCACCTCCTCCCCCAGGCCCTGGGAGTAGAAGCCTCTAATCTAAATGCAAATTCACTGTGGTCCCCTGTCTATACCATCTCTACCAGGCCAGGGCAGAGCTGACACTGGACCTAAGAGATAAGGAGCCTCTCGAACACGCCTCCCCTGCCTGGCTACCCTCAGCCTGTCAGTCCCACAAAGACCCCAGGGAATCCCAGCTTCCCTTCTTCCCAGTTCTTCCCAGTTCCGTAGGCACCGAGATGGTTCTCCAAGGTCCCCTTGCTGCTGTTAAGAAGGAGGGAAACCTGCAGGGGAGAGGCAGTGGTATGGAGTGTACAGGCTGGGTGTAAGCTAGGAGAACAAAGCCGAGAAAAGACTGTGGCAGAGTGGAGTCTCTGCCATCATCCTGCATGACGCTGGGTGCTCGGGTGCCATTAGCCTGCGCCATTTCCGCATGAGTTAAAAGTTGGTCGTATTTTCTTCCTGGAACAGCGGCAGCCCACAGTGAGCATAGGATGTCCCTTGAGGCCAGGGCAATACTGAGCCCAGCCCGATGTGCACTGTGATTGCTGCCCACATCCTTAGCAGGGCCTGTCTCATCTTTGAGATGTCATTTCCTTTGGGACAGAGAAACCATGTAGAGACCCTGGTGTTGCATGCCTCCATAGTAGAGCAAACCAGGGCCCTGGAGGTGGGCTGGGCAGGACCACAGGTTAGAGTTCTACTGGCTCGGATTTCTCAGTATACTTCCTTCCCTTCCTGGTCCCTGCTCCACAACACTGCAACAGTACTGCGTAATTCACAAGGGGTAGGTTTGGGTCAGGAGCAGGATTCTTGCGCACCATGTTCGGGTTTAAATCCAACTAAGCCTGGTTCTGTTTCAAAGGCATCACCACAGAGATGGCATTAGCAAATGGTCTCTCTACCTCCAGAGGCTACCTCACATCGCCGTTGGGCCTTCCCCTTCCTCGGACTAGTGTTTCTTTCGTGAAACTGGTCCGTTCATTAGCATCTCCCTATGGTTGTTCCCTGGCTCTTATCCCTTTGGAACAAGGACTTGTAAGGGCAGATGCTGGGAGTCAAGATGCCCTGGCCTGGATCCTTTCTGGGATCCTGGCATAGCCTACCTCGCGGGGTTGAGGGAACATATGTGAAGTGCTCAGTGCATGCAATAGCCGGAGATGCCCAGCACAGAGTCAGAGGGAAGGAAGCGTTCATTAAACGCTAACGATTGTCATTATTGTCATTATTGAAGGGCTTCCTATCTATTCACTGGGCAGCTTGATAAGTCCCTCTATGCCTCAGTTTCTTTCTGTAAACAAGGGGGATGATTGCTATCACCTGTCACATCACGGAGTTGCTGTGTCGAGGGACACGGTAACAGAAACATTAATCCCTAAACTCAACTTCAGTGCTCAGGAAGGGGATGTAACTCTTGGCAGAACAGTTGCCTAGCACGCAGAAGACCCTGGGTCCACTCCCCAGCAACACATAAAATGTATGTATGTATGTATGTATGTATGTATGCATGTATGTATGTAGTATGTATTATGTATGTATGTATGTATGGGGTGGTATATGCCTGTAATCCTCCCTCTCGGCAAGTCCAGATGGGGATCAGAAGCTCAAAGTCATTCTCAGCTACACGGAAGTTTAAACCGTATGTGCTCCTGAGATGCCTCCCTCTGGGGAACCCATCCTTCACGGCCTCCCACCTGGGGACTAGGTGTCTAAGGACCTGCTGTCCCCCAGTGCACAGCTCAGATCAACCCGAAGGTGGGTTCTCCATGGAGCCAGTGTTCCTCCAGGTTGAACCTAGCCTTCTTCCACCTAGCTACAATCTGTGGTTCTCAATTTACTTGACGTTTTTCAAATTGCCTATGATTTTGAAAAAGTGAGGGCAATTCCTGCTAGCGGGAAGTTGTGTACTATTGCCTAAATAAAAGTTACTCTACTTAAGAACGAGGGTTATGTGTTGATGTTTGCTGAAGGAAATGAGTAAGTGTCAGAAACTCGGTGCCCTCAGCAAGAGGGGATCCTGAGCTCAGGGCTGAGGTTTCGAAGAAGAGAATTCTCTGGGCTGGAGAGATGGCTCCGGAGTAGAGTGGATATTGTTCTCACTGAGGACCCGAGTTTGACTCCCAGCTCCGTGTCAGATGGCTCACAACTGACTGTAACTCCAGCTCCAGAGATTCCAATGTTTCTGCCCTCCCTGAATACCTACATTCATGTACGTAAGTGCACACACACACACACACACACACACACACACACACACACACATTTTAAAATAATGAAAAATAAAGCTTAAAAAAAAAGAATAGAATCCTCTGGGGACTTTTAAATGCTTTACTTCACTGGCAAATCCTTGTTATGGACAGTGGCTCTGAGAGACACCATTTCTACACTTCTTGAAAGATCCACTTAGGGTCAGAATCCAATTAATTAATGGAGATTCCCTTGACCTGACCGGCACCCCCAGCTCTTTTTCTCAATACTTTCTAATAAAGGGTGTTCTTCGGAGAGGGGCATAGGAATGCTGTGGTAGGAACATCCTTATTTCTCAAGCGACCAGGGTAACTGGGGTAGCTGTCTCTCCCTGTGCACAGCGGTCAGCCTGCTAAGACTCTGGAGGAAAGGTCCCTGAATGCAGTGGAAAGAAGTCAAAAGGGAACCCGGGTGAATGTGATTCAATATACAGGGAACCTCACGGATAGGTGTGGTAGGGCAAGCCTGTGTAATTCCAGCCCTTGAGAGACAGACGAGAGAGCATGCATCCAGGCTAGGCTGTGCCACAGAGCAAGAACCCGTGTCAAATCACAACCATCACCAAAAATATCTTTAAATTCGGTTTCACCCCTAGGCTTTTGTGGGCCACAGCCCCTGAAGGATGTTCTTAGCAGTACTGTTGATCACAGGAAATGTAGGAAGTGGCTGGAATGTTCTTTAGCAGGGGAGAGGGTGAGTGAAGATGCTTTGTTCCAAACCGTGGGCAGCTGTGCAGCCGTGCAACCGTGAACCCGTGACGCCACGAATGTTACACAGGAAAGAGCCATGCTAGATTGGTGAGTGGAAAAGTTGCCAGGAAACCAGACAGGCAGAGCCAGCAGGTAAAGAGGCTCGAGGTACAAGCCTGACAATCTGAATTCAATCTCTAGACCTCACAGAAAAAAGAGAGGACCAACTGCCCAGATTTGACCTCTGACCTCTATGAAAACCTTGGGACAAGCCAACTTCACACACACACACACACATATAGAAACCAATATTTTATGATAGGGACTAGAAAGGTGGCTCAGTGGTTAAGAACAC